CCCCCCCCCCCCCCCCCCCCTCCCTCCTACCGTTGCGATGTACCACACTAAATCTTGATTACGTAGATGGCAAAGGACGAGAAGTGGAGATGGTAGAGGGAGTGATGACGGAGGAGAGATGACAAGCGAGAGATGACGAGATGGCAGAGGGAGTGGAGATGGCAGAGGGAGAGAACAGGAGATACGGAGAACGATGACGAAGGAGGGAGGGAGAGGAGGAGAACGAGTACGACGGAGGAGGATTGAGGAGGAGAACGATGAGGAAGGAGGAAGGAGGTGAGGAGGGAAGGCGCATTTGAAAAAACAAATAAGGACGAAAATGGGGGAAAGATATCAGAGAAGGAAGGAGGGAGGGAGAGAGAGCAGGACAACGATGACGAAGGGGGGAGGGAGGAGGGAGGAGGATAACGATGACGGAGGGAGGGAGGAGGAAAATGCCGGAAAGATGACCGAGGAGGGAGGAGGGAGGAGAGATTGACGAGGGATGAAGAAGATGAGCGCCGAGGATGGGGAGCAGGAAAGGCCGAGGAGAGATGAGAAGACGATGGTGGAGGAGGAGGAGGAAGAGGAGAGCAGGGGAGAATTCAAAAAAAAAAAAAAAAAAGAGAGTCGGGATCTCGGCGACAGTTTTCTCGGTGATGAAGAAGGGCAGGCGAAGCAATGGGGTATATAGGAGGTAGAAGGACGAGAGATGAAGAAGACGAGCGAGGAGGATGGACAGCAGGAAAGGCGGAGCAATGGAGAAGACGATGCTCGACGAGGAGGAGGAGGTGGTGGAGAGGATAGTAGTACAACCAAAAAAAAAAAGAATATATATAATCAATCGCCATCGAAGCGACAGCCTTCTCAACGATCTCAACGATGAAGAAGGGCAAGTGAGGCGATGGAGAAGACGAAGTACGAGAAGGAAGAAGAAGAGGAGGGTGGAAGACGGGGAGGTGGACGAGGGATGAAGACGAGGACCGACGAGGATGGGGAGCAGGAAAGGCGGAGGAGAGATGAGAAGACGATGGAGGAGGAGGGGGAGAGGGAGAAGGAGACGGAGAAGGAGGAGGAGGAGAAGGAGACAAACACATGGCGGACATATGATGGAGGAGGGGAGGAGGAGGTGAACACTGACAAGCGGGGGAGGAGAACGATGACGAAGGAGATAGGAAGAGGAGGGTAACGATGAGGAGGAAGGAATGAGGAGGAGGAGAACGATGACGACGTAGGGGCGGGGAGGAGCAGAAGGATGACGAAGGAGCGAGCAGCATGGTTTCCGCCGAGCGTGTGTGTGTGTGGGGAGAGAGAGAGAGAGAGATCCGTAAGTGGAGGACTATGCCTCATACAGGGCGTGACGACAAAGAAAGAAAGAGAGAGAGAGAGGGAGGGAGGGATGGGGGGAGAGAGAGAGAGAGAGAGAGAGAGAAAGAGAGAGAGAAATAGGAGTTAGTGGTGACCCACCTGGCCTCCGTTGCTGATGCCTCCTTGTGCTCCTCCCGCTGCTTTCGTCACCTTCCTACCGCTGCCTCCTTCCAGCTGGTGCCTGCTCTCCTCTTGAGAGCAGTGCGGCTGGCTATGGCTCCGGCTGGCTATGGCTCCAGCTGCCTTCCGGTGGTCGTTACAGATGCCAAGAAGACGACTGCGGCGACGAACGGCAACAACAAACCCCCCGCGAGACTTCTTTTTTTTTTTTTTTGACCCCTTGATTACGGGGTGCGCCGCACGCAGTGCGCGAGCCGGATGCGCGGTGCGCGCATGGCAGGCGCGCACTTCGCGCGCCGCATGTCTGGTACATACGTAAGTCTTTAATAGCCTCCAATATACTATACTATGCAATACAGTAATAACTGTGCTCCAGCACTAGTTCGGGGGCTAGGTCCCACTTGCACGAATTAAGAGATAGAGACCGTAGATAGCCAAGACCAACGGCCGAAATCTCCTAATCCGTGCAAGTGGGACCTTGCCCCGGTAGAGTAAGTACACAGTCTCAATGGCATCTCAAGAACGAGCATACACAGATGGACAGGGCCAGTGAAAAAAAAAAAAAAAAACAGAGAGAAGAGAGAACGAAAGAAAGAAAAAAAACGAGGTTTGCCGCTTTTCCAGAGGCGGATTTCCACCTGCACACCAAGGTTAGCCGAACCTCCGCCGAAACTCCAGCGCGGCACTTTTTCTCTCTTCTTTTGTTGTTTTTTTCTTTTTCCTTTCTTCTTTTCTGGTCTGGTAGAGTTTTCTCTTCTTTTGGCTGGCGCCGCCAGCTATTTTGGTCTGGGAGAGTTTTCTTTTCTGCCAGCTTTTTTTTTTTTTTTGGCTGGCGCCGCCAGCTATTTTGGTCTGGGGAGCCAAAACCAATTTCAGTGTCAAGTTTGCCGGGCCCGTGTACTGGTGGTGTAAGTTATAAATACAGTCTGGAACGCGTCTTAAGCTCAAGTACTTACTCTAAAAAGCGAAGTACATACTCAAGTACTTAGTCTCTACAGCCAAGTACATAG